CGCTAACAAGGCGTGCAAATGCTCTGATTGGGCAGCTTTCTTGTAACGCCAGGGCCTTAGCAGGATGCCCACCTAATGAGGGTCACTACAAGAGACTGATAAAATATTCAAATTTTCCGTCGCACCAGGAACTTTGTATTAAAGGGGAAAGTTGAGGCAACTGTGTGGTTGTTTACCTTGGGAAGGCACACTCGGGGGAGAAGGCAGCTAGCCCTGACAACTCCATCTCCCAGATACGCCGCGGGCTCGATGGTCGCTTTTTTTCTGTACGTCTGTTTGTTAAAACCGTCGACAGATTTCCCCCCACCTTCCCTCCTTTCCCCCCCACCCCGTTCTAATTATGTTTCTCTCGGGTTTAATGCGCTGATAAATAAATAACTTGTCTACGAGGTCCCGTGCCTTTTTAAAAAAGAATTATTACAATCAGGCTGATGGCTTTAATGATACGTCAATCATTTCCAAGTTGCTGGTTGTTGCGAATATGTCAGCCTCTGTACACATCACTACTGCTTTCCTCACTGCCGCGTTTAAAGGCTGTCCCCCGCCCTCCCCCCGCAATTTGTTTCTTCAAGTTTTCATTGCTAGGTTACGATTTCTAATTAGAGCTAAGTATTTCACTTAATATTTAATTTAGACGCCCAGCACATATATCATACCTAGATCAGTCAATCAAGTGTCCCTTGTTGATAATGCTACATCATTAAGAGTTGTGTTTAATTCAGGAGCAAGCGACTGCACGGCTGCTTCTGCTGCCGCGCAGGTAACTTTCGACTTTCGGGAGCTGCGCTCAAATCCAGGGGGATGGCGGGGGAGCGACCGAGCCGGGCGGCTGTGGACCCATCGCCTCGTCGGGAAAGTTTGCAGCTTCCCAGCTCGGCACCTCTCCACGGAGGCGAGCCGGACTCTTTTTCTCCCTCCTTGCAAAAAAATGAATATCCCACGCTTCCCTCCTCCAGCCGCTGTGTTTACGCAAAATTAAGGAGGGAAGGGGAATCCGAAAAGTTTAACCTAAGAGCTGGAACACTGTTTTGGACCAGTAATAAAATACCCCCTCCGCTTCTTAGACCGGTCTAAACCGTTAAAAAATCACTTTCCCTCATGTTTCTTAGCACAACCTGTACAGCGAGCATTGCATCAATAGGACTGGATTACGGGAGCCGAATGGGCCAGATCTTACACACCCATCAAAAGCATATTCATTTATCCTGAGAAACAGTGACAGAAAAAAGAGGAGAGAAAGAAAGAGAAGGAAGGAGCTGGATAGATGTGTTTTTAAAGACGGCAGCTGTACAAAATTGTCAGCGCTTGCCAATGAAGAATGACAAAAATTCAATTATATCATAATAAAAAAAAAAAGAGAGAGAGAGGCGCACCGCTACGCCCCAGCCCCGTCTGCGCCCCGGCCTCCCCCGATAAAAAATAATCAGCTCTCGCAAGCGTCGCCTGAGTCACTCCCGAGTCAGGATTAAGGGGCACTAACTAGGCAGCAGAAAATCGCAGCCTCCTGGGAGCTACCATCAAAACAAGCAGTGAAATAAAAGAGCTTCCCTCTCTGCTTCCTTTCCTCTCCCAGGAAAAGTCCTCCAGGTTGGCAGCCAGATACACACACACGCACACACACACAGAGACAGGTGCAACTTTGCAGGGCTCCGTTCAGAAAAGAACATAGGGTTGTCCCGGTTTATTTAGGGGGAGGTTTTTTTTTGGTATGAGGTTGCGGGAT